TATAATGTTGTAGCTTTCGGAATCGTTGAGCGAATTGCAACAGCAGTTGTAGCGATCGCTCATGCGGCAGTCGAGTTGCTTTTTGCAACATTGAAATTGCTGCATTTTATGTGACTGCCTCATATAAATGTGCTCTCCAGATTATCCCAGGACCACCCCAGGACCACCGTAGACATCCACTCACACACACACATGTCTTCAAATGCGCTGTTATGGGTTTGTCCTTGTGCTGGGGCAGTGCGACGACAAGCGAAGGTTTCCGGCAATTGCCCCGGAGTACTGCGGCCCCAGTAAGCTGATTTTTGTGCTACTTAATACCCTGTAGTGGCCTTGATGATCAAACTGAATGATACCTATCAGACCGTATCTATAGGTATTAACGGAATAAACATCATATGAACTACTCAGGTCATTTAATGGATTCTCCATTTTCTCTATCCTCTCCTTGTTTCTTCTATCTCTTAAGTCTATTCTCTCTTCTTCCCTTTTCATTATTTTTTCTTCTCTCCTCACTGCTTTTTTGTTTCTTTTACTTTTTATCGCATCTTCTTCCTCTTCTTTATCGGCTCTATCTTCATTTTTCTGTTCTCTCTCTTTCTTTCCGCTTTCCATTTTTTATTTATATTTTGTCTTCTCTTCTCTCTCTTTACTCTCTCTACTTATCCGGCTTATTCTTATTTATCTGCCTTCCTTTTATCTCTATTCCCACTTTTCCCATTTTTCTCTTTCTCACTCCCTTTTCTCTATTCCAGTTTTCTACTGTGCCATCACTCTTCTCTCTCTCCTCATTCTTCTATCTTTTCTGTTTCTCATTACTCTCTTTAAGGCCGCATCTCCTCTTCTTCTCTCGTATCTATATTCCCTCTCTTCTTTTTCCTCCTCCCTCGCTTCTCTCTATCCTATTTTCTATTTTCTACTTTATGCATTGTTTTTTACTCTCCTTGTCTCTCTCTCTTCTCGTTGTCTCTCTTCTTACTTCTTCACTCTCGTCTCTCATCTTATTTTGCTTTGTTGCTTTTGGACGTTCTTATCGTTAGCTAGCCCCAAAGTCATCAACATGGAACCAAAGCTACCCCATTGCCAAGGAGCTAACTAGGTAGTACAAGCGCTTATTTCATGTTTGCTGTCGTGGGAAGTTTGCACTGAGAGAAAGGATAGGGATAGGAAGCTGTGAAATTTTATTTGAATGTGTCTCAGTGGACAAATCAAAGTTAACGAAGCTCCGACTTTGGCTCCAGCTGCTGAGAAAAAAACCCCAGCAGCTCGGAAAAGCGCGCGTGCATCGAAGAAAATTTAAAAATCAGCAGAACAGCGAAGGAACAACAATAATGAAGAAGAAGAGCAACGCGTAACAACAATGCCTGTTAAAATATGATAGGCAGCACGAGCTGTCAGAGCAATGCCTGCCACATGCCCCTCGAATACCTCTTCCTTCCCTTCCCTTCGCCCAGCCAAGCAAAAGCAATTAAGTTTTCGTTCCAGCTGCAATACATAAATTTTTGACAACAAAATAAAAAATATCTAGGCTGCGCAGAGGTAGAAGGAGAGAGAGAGGGGGAGGGAGAGTAGCTGATGGTTGGTGAAAGATGAGTGGGGGTAGCGGGAGGAAAGAGGGAACTGGGCTGTTTGCTGTGTACTCCATGTACCATCTCTTGATACTGGAACCTCGCTTTCAACCAATGCTGACTAGCTGTCAGTCAGTCTGGCAGACTGATATCTAAAGTAGATTTGCATAAGCTCCATTAGTCTATATCTTAACGTTGAGACCCAGTTCAATAATTAATCCAATAACCTCTTTTCGATCTATTCCTAAAATTTAGAAATTAAGCTCTCAAATCTAGTTCGTTCACATCTAGTTCAATTGAGTGAGCTGTCAGTTCACAAGTGAAGTGAAAAATCAGCAATCGAACTAAATCGCTCTGAATTGGAATAGTTTTTGCCATTTGCATTTGCATGGACATCATGCGAGGTATAGCTGGCATTTGGTAAAAGGATATGCATATTAGTTGACTTTAACATGTGGCTTAAAGCGCTTAAACGAAAGCAAACAGGGGCAACATCTAGTTGGCCAAGCGGGGCGAAATGTCCCTGACATGGACCAGCAGCAGCTCGGCTGGCTAAGGAGGGAACAGCCTGGAGCTGGAGCATTCCGCTTAAGCAGACAATTTGGCAAGTGCTGGCAACGTGGCAACAAAGTGCCCCGCCCAGCGCATATAGGGCGGCTGCTGCCGTTGCCGTTGCTGTTGCTGTTGCTGTTGCGACTATTTAACGCAGCAGCAGCAACAGCAACAACAACCGTGGCAGACTGCAGGCTGCCTTCGCGTGATTTGTGTGCAAGCGCCCTTCAAGGACACTCGACGCGCAGGCGACTCTCACAGAGTGCAGCAGGAGAGGCAGGAGAGGAAGGAGATAGCTGCTTGCTGAAAGGGTCTATGGTTGCATTTTACTATGTGCCATTGTGGCCATAAATTCAATGCACTTGAACTGCATGCCTCGCGAGCATGGGAAGAGGCCAGAGAAGCAGGTTGATGCAGCGGATTGGAGACGTAGCCGGAGACGGAGCCAAATTGAGACGCAGGGTCGACATCAAAGTCAGAATCACTGCTCCAGAGTCTCACAACAACAACATTTGCGTCTGTGAGTCTCAGAGCTTCGGCACATCAGAGCATCAGAGTCAAAGAATTAGAGTCGGAGTCACAGTTACAGTCAGAGTCACAGAATATTTGAGGTCATAGTCCGGTTCCGGTTCGATGCCTGAGGCCGAGTCATAAGCCTCGTTTATGACCCCAGGGCGCAATTGCTCTTCGCTTTATGCATCGTTGTCAGCAGTTTATGCGCCGTTTGGTCATTTGCCCAAATTGTTTATGACCCAAAGGAGGCAAAGCAGCGATCCAGCCGCCACATGGCCAAAAAGGCTGAATCACATTTTTTTTGTATTGGCCAGGCACTTGCCAGAGCTACAAGCCATTAAAACCGAACATGGCGTACCATTTACGACAGAGCTGCCACCCTATACAATCATTTACTTAATTTCAAATTATATTTAATATTAGCTTCGAATGCTCAGCTTTTATCATTGGGAAGCAGTCTAAATGATTGCCGGACAAGTCATCTGCGGGGAGAAGGGATTCGAATACCAGCTAATCGAATCTATGGAAAGTACTTATTGTACGAAAGCGAAGAAGAGGCCTACGGATTACGGCTTAAGATCTTTGTATATACATATAACTCACCTCAATATATTATTATCCCAGTTTCATTCTTGAATAACAAAGCTCTATTGAGGTTGAAGACTCGTCTGCATATTTAATATTTATAGACTTTGATATACAATTCCGACCGACTAAATACATGGGAATATACAAATATATGTCGGAACTTTATCACGAGAAATTAAATCAAAGACGATTGAACGAGTAAGAGTATTAAAAAGAGTTTAGCGACACACCGGGAATTTGTTGATACGCTAAGATGGAAAACCAGAATGAGAAACGAACGCTCCGACATATATATGTATGTATTTATCTAACAGGCTTCTATATCTTATATAAAGACTGTAGACTGCTCTTCCCAAATGTTGTCACCCTCAATGGAATTAAAAGATAATCATAATTAGTTTGATTTGAGCTTTTTAATTTTTATACTTTTTTTTACGTTTTCAATTTTGTTTTTTTGTTTTTTTTTTTAATTTTTTCTTTATAATGCTTTTTTTTTAATAAAAAAATTTGTTTTTCTTTTTTGCGTATTTTGGTATTTGAACATGTTACCCCTGGAAAACACATTTCAAAACACATTACAAACGCTCTAGGAGAGCCTCTGCCTCTTCCGCTTGGTAAAGATCTCGTCTGGGCGCTTCCTCTTGACCGAGGCAGTATCCCCAGCTACATCAACTGGATATGGGCTGTACTCGATTACCATAAGCATTGGTAATGGCTCAGGCATCGCGCACTCCAGCTTGAGCTTCTGGTACTCTATCATCTCATTTGAGTTCGGTGTCATGATCCAGCGTTTGGTTAGCTAAAAATTCTAGGTTTATAAAATCTGATTTTTACAAAATATTACTTTACACTAGAACGGGAAAACATTTACCGATTCGATTTCGTATTTTTGAAAAAATTAATAAAAGTGTTGATTTAGGAAAATATATTGATTTTTGTAAAATGTTTACTGTTGCTCTCGAAGTGTTCTGTCGGCTGCGTCGACATATAATGAATGCTGAGAGTGAGTTTCCCAGATGCCTCAACGAAACTGTTGATGTCAAGGCTAACTTGATCAAGGCTGATGTGATCTAAACAAAATTTTACTTAATCTGAAATTCAGGAAAGCAAAGGCAAAAGTAGAATGAAAGTGAAAGAGAGAGGGAGAGGGAGATCATGAGAGATAAATTGAAGGGAAAGACAGAGATACTGGAGGTAATAGACAGAGCCTTTCCTCTCTGATAGGTAGATAGCGAGCGTATGAGAGACTCACAAATTAAATCTAAGAATAAAACTTATGTTACAATAATACATATATGGTATATATACGTTCCTTGTAAAGAAAGTTAATGAAACACGTTGGACTTGCATTAAATATAATTGTTTCAATTTAATTCCCGAAATGTATTGTATATAATTGTTCGTTTAATAATTTTCGCTTTGACATTTTTTATAGTATACGAATATATACATACATATATTATATATATATATATACATATATATATATATATATATATATACATCTGTGTATATATAAATATCTGTCTGTATAGAAATTTTTATATATGATGCGCATAAATACATACATATTGTATATTACATATGTATACGTAAATTTTGCATTTTTTTTGTATTCAACTCTTTTTTAATTTTTGTCATAGAAACAAACATTTTAGTACCCTTGTGGACTTTACTTTTACTTTTGAATTTGGAACACTTTGTCGAACGAATCTTTATCTTTAGTAGGGGTATTCTTTAGCTCCTGTACATTTTTGGTCATTTCTGCGTTCATTTATTTTGTTTACTTATTGTGCAAACTCTTGTCAAATTGAACATGCGATCAATTATTTCTGTGCACTTTACAACACTGAATTATTCAATAGAGACTTATTCGCATATTCAATTTGCTGCCTGTTTGCCGGACCGATTTTTTTACAGTGGTTTTTCAGAGCCAAGAAATACTTATAAATCCCTTATAATTTGCATATATGTATATATATAGGTATATACATATATAGCTCTTTTATTATGCTTGTTGTTTTTTTTTAGTTTTAGTTGTAATTGTATTTAAGGTTTAATTAGTTGTTCCGCATAGTTTGCACTAGAATATAGTTAGTTTTTCACATATAAGATTCTTAAAATATGTATTTATGTATATATATGTATGAATGTATATATATTTGTGTAATATTAGTTTAATTCAGTTGGATGGGTTGTTTATTTGTTTAAAGCTTTCATTAGTTATACTCTTGGTTGTAGTTGTTTCTGTGTTTTAGTTCTAATTTTTGTAGTTCTCCTTCTTGGTCGAAAATTAGCACACAGGCAAATTACAAATTACAGTTATAGATAGACATACAGATTGGTAACATAGATAGTTGGTTAGCTACATAGATCGATAGATAGAGGAGTAACACATCTATAAAATGGACATCGAGAAGATTATTCATATGCTCACAGTATATAGAATATGTATATATATTATAGTTGGCCAGCTATATAATATTTGGTATGCAAATAAACGTTAATATTTTTAGCGGCTATAAAGAGGCATAGACCAATTGACACGTTGGCAATACAGATTCGACCAAATCCTAAATCAACTATCCTGTGCCGTATGCATAGAGTTGCATATATAACTTTTTCTTTTCCTTTTTTTTTTGTTTTCTTTAGGAACGAACGAATCTCTTATTCGTTTTCTATACTCGTTTCAATTCATTTCTTCTTCTAATTAAATTTGGTTATAGCTGAAGTCTCTTTCTCGATTGTAACTCCATAGAGTTTCATGCTCGCAAGTTTTACTCTTTCCATTTCCAAGTGTTCCCTCAGTTTAGAATCTCAATTTTCAGCCTAAAAACTAAATTATTGACTTAATGCAAAAAAAAAAAAAAAAAAAATAAAAAACACACAATTGATCTACCTGAACGAGCATTAAGAACCTAATTCACGTAGGTTTTTTACGCTGATCCCTTAAATCGAGCCTTTATATGTATGCATATAGATAAAGATATAGATATAGATATAGATGTAGATACAGATATAGATATAGATATAGATATAGATATAGGTATAGGTATCTAGGTATAGGTATAGCTATAGATATTTGAAGTTAGGGGATATAGTAAAATATGTAATCGTATGGGGGTATATCTTTTGAGCGTTTGCAACAAAACTGTTTTACTAGCAACGATCTATTTTAATTAATATTACTAAGTAAACATTATTATGTAAGTATATATAGGGAAACGAAATACTTTCCATTTGACTGTGTGTGTGAGAGTTACGGCGTATTTGGGAGACTGTTGCGCGTAAGGTAGAATGATAGATATAATAATTAATAATACTATAAATTATGCATGGGATTGAGAATGGCTGACAAATGCTGAACAGCACGACAAAATGTTAAGTTTCATAGCAGCGAGCTTTGTCGCGGATGAAATTGAAGCCATGCTCCCTCAGCAAATCAAGAAACAGAGAGGGAAAGAGAAAGGGAGAGATAGCGAAAGAGAGAGAAATAGAGAGAATGATAGATAGAATAGGTGTAGAATTGCGTGGCTTTGAGTTTTTACATTTATACATTGTAAATTGTAGTAGTTGTTGGACAGTTTTGTATTCTAGTAGAACTGCATTTAGTACTCTTTATTATCATCTTCAGCTGCCTATTGACATCAAACTTGACTTACTCGCTGACTTACTTATGCCTTAGCTGTGCTCTCTCGCACCTGCACTCAATCACACATACACACTCACACACAGTATCACACACACACACACGCACACTTAAGCCTTAACATACACTCTCTCTCTCTCTCCTGCTATCTACACCTGTTCGGCACTCTCGTCCAGCACCATCGAGTGCAGATCCATGGCGGAGCGCGTCTTCCTTGGGGGTCTCGGCATCAAATAGTGACTCGTGCTGGCACCCACGAAAACCGAATTCTGGCGAGGCCGAGAGACGTGCGAGACATGCGAGGCATAGCCTGAAATAAATAAACAAAAATATTTTATATTAGTATATGTCAATGTTATTCAAAGAAAATACCAGTATTAGTGCTAGGTTGCAGCATTATTAGGAGGTGGATTACGATCGGGGTGGTAATGGAAATATTAATGATAGCGGGACAAGGAGAATTATAATGATAATGTTAATGATGGTTAACTATGCTAATAAAATTATAGAAATAGTAATGATAATGATTATGATAATGGATTTTCTCATCCCAATGCCATGAACATTTCTGGGCTGGTACGAATGTCAATGATAATGATATGATGAAAGTGTTAAAGAAAATGGTCTGCATTATGATAATGTGTAATATAATACAATATAATATAATATAGTTATAATATTAAATAAAAAGTTGGTAGAAAAAGAATTGTAGCCATAGATAGGGTTTTGATAGTGCTAGGCATAAATATCTAATGAAAGTATTGTTAATGACAGGCTAATGAATTAGTCATAATCCAAATTTTATAGATTCATTTAATATCATCAGTGACTACACACAATCGACTGATCATTTACTCGCACAGTCATACACACACACACACACACACATACACAGACACACTCAGATGCATGGAAAAGCAGCTTTCCCTTCCCATTTCACCCACTACGCATTCCATTTTTAGCAATTTTTCCATTTGCTGGTCCATGAGTTGCGTATAAGCATGTGTGTGTGGGTGTGCGTGCGTGTGTATATGTACGTTTCCACTAGATTTAATTGCATAGCTATTGTCGTCAGAGTCAGAGCTGGTCCTGGAGTCGGAGCATTCTCGAGCGCCAGCAAATGGCATTAAAATTGTATTGTTATTTGCTTCGCTGGCGCCTTCGGTTCCCCCCTTTGAGCAGGCCTCACAGCGTGCCACGCCTCCTCGTGTGCGCCGTCTCTGCCTTGGTGTTGTGGAGCTTAATTGTCTGGCAACTCATTAAAAGTCCAACTAGAATGCAGTACTTAAAGCAGGCAACGCCTCAACTAGCGCGCATTAAACATATTTATAAGCTATATTTCGCTGCTCTCTTTCTCTCTCTCTCTCTCTTTGTCTCGTTCTCGTTCGCTGTGTTTACTACTCTTTCCAGTGAGTTGCATCTTGGCAAAATTAAGTCCTCTCTGACAGCGGCGCTAATGCGTAAAGCGCAAACATGTGCGTCCGGCATAAAAGACAAATGCATTAAGCTGGCACAACTTCTTAAGAGCTGCGTGACGGGGAGCGCACGACTAGGAAATACCCTAGATAATGGGAGTTAACATAACTACAACTCTATTTAATGCATAATATATATGTATGCAACTAAAATTATAGATAAACTCTCTTAGGCATTTATCATATATATTTCTTGATCTACATCAGTTCAGGCTTGACTGAGTTTTCTATAAGACCTGAATAGACCACCAAGTTCATTCTATTTTTGCCCTACTAGTCCTTTCAGCTGTTGCCTATAGAGCTGAATTAATGATGAGTGACCCATAACTAAGTATCATGTTATATTCGCAAAGGGGGTCCACATACATATGTATCATGCATGCATGTATGTAATTAGTCAAGCGGGGCTAAATAAATGTTGATATAAAAGTTTGCGGCTTCATCAACTTTTATAGCCCTTAAAAGTTACGCAACTGCATACCATTGAATGAAGTGCAGGGTAAAGCAACTCAAATTTTAGTTTCACTTTATGATGATTGGCCAAAGCGCTAATTTTCGAATAGTCCTTTATATTTACCAAATTTCAAACACTTGAGGCAAAACGTTGATCAAAGTGATTATTAAATCAAGTCTCTATAAGTTCAATAAGCTTGACAAGTTCGTTTCCTTCTGGTTCTTAAGGCGAAAAATTTGCAAACTTGCAGCTAGTTCGATGCGATTAACATGTATGTTCATGCAAAATTTATTTGCATCGGAAAGTTTGCAGCGTTTCGCACAAAAGTAGGCAACACAACATGCATTACGAGTTGACAACACACACACACACGCGGAATAGGGTCTATCGACTGTATGTGTGTGTGTGTGTGAAGACGTTGTTCGTATTTAATTGCATTTTGCATTTGCATTTTACGCGAATTTTTCACACGAAAACCAACAAACAAAAGTAAATAATAGAGAAATGCGCGACTAGTAGATGCTCTGTAAAGAATTTTTATTAGGAACCATTTTCAGTCAGTTAGTAATATTCGATGCTATGTAGGTACCATGGGGGACTATCAAAGCTCGATGCCTTCAGCTTTTTAAGTTTTGAGCTAAACTACAAATAATGTATATCGATATTTATCGATTATTCATGATTTCTCAATTTTCATGATCACACTTCATAGCAATTCCTCCAATTACATGCACACCGTTGCAATGATTGATTATACCCACTGGCATAGCATTGTTGAATATGAATGGGGTGGAAACGATAGACGTGCAGCATGCAACATGAGGCAAGAGCGTAAAGCGTAAAGGCCGGCGCAGCCGTTTGGTGCGGGGCACGTGGCAAGGACGTCAAGGACAATGCGCTTACCCTTCGCATATATGTTGGGATTATAGGCCGCAAATTGACACGTTGGCATATTCAAATTATGATTGTGCACCATGCCCATCGACATGCGGGACACCGACGAGCGCTGCAATGACAAAAACCAAAGAGAATATCAATGAGAGATGTGTAGATAGATATGGATAGATGTATATATACATTCAATTGAATCGAATTAACATGGGAATTGAAAAATTTATGGCTGATGTCACAAGCTCTTGATTTAATATTTATTTGAATATCAGATATATTTAGATTTGTTTTAACATTTCTATATATGTATCTATATATATATATATATATAATTACCTGATGTGTCTGCACGGCATCGATGTCGACCAGCGGACAGGAGCTGCGATGCTGTTGCTGGAACTTTGGCTGGTACGGCTCCAGCATGCGTATCTTGCCCCAGCGATTGAAGAAGAGCATTATGGCGCCCACCCAGAGGATGAGTACGAGGCCCACAATCAGCACCTCCTCGGTGCGCACAATGATCTTGGGGCCTACAATCGAGATGGAAGAAAACTTATTTCAATTGTTCTCTATGAAATGTACGGTAAAATATGTTCTTTGATTGTTGTTGTTGTTGCTGTTGTATTATTATTTTTATTTTAAATTTCTGTGTGCTGCACGTACGATGCATAAATAACTCAAGAGGCCGCAAGAGTGGAATTCAATTATCGCGCGTTTGCTGCCACATTCTGCTGCTGTCTCAGCACCTGCCACCTCATGGCTCTTGGCTCTTGGCTGTTCGTTGTCGCAGAGGGCAATTGGATTACAGTTAAGACCATAAACATTCAATTACTCGTTTCCTGCGCACTCGCATCCTCAAGGATTTGTTTTAAAGCCGAACATGCGTCGCTTTTATGTTGTCTTACGATTTAAGCCTGCTTCTTGTCGTGTTTTCTCCCCGTGTGTGGAGTGATCCGGCAACACCGGCTTAGCGATGGTTAGATTGTTATTGTTGTTAGCCTGACAGAATTCTCTGTTGACAACTCCAAATCTGTTGCTTACATTAAATATTTACATTCCGATCTGGCAACATCGGAGCGACTGTTCATCTAATCTATCAATTATTCACCCACCTGGCAGCACCGTAATAGTGATGACATATAACACTATTATACAATTTAGCTATCTGGCAGCACTGTACATAAAACTTTGAAAATCTGGCAACACCGCAGTAGTACTACATATCCTGCTTAATATATCTAATAGAGTTTTTAGAGTACTTTGCCGATCTGGCAACGCCAGCTCATACCTAAAACTAACGGCAATATCTGTCAGGATCTCATTATCTAATATCCTATAGTTTCTTGATGATCTGGCAACGCTAACGTTTAATTAATCAGCCAATTTGGCAAAACTAGTGGGATAAATTCTTGCCTAGGGAAATACTCGATCTACTTGAAGCAGATTTGTGCTGAAGCTCAACTGAAACAATATTGACCATCTGGCAAACAACATATGTTGTCAAGTGCTTGTTAAGTTGGCTGGATCACAGCTAATCTGTGAACCCTTCACTCTTATCGCTATCTCTTTCTCTTGCTATTTGGCTGTATACGCTAATTAAGTTGGCTGCATCTCTAAAAATTCCCCCTCTCTCTTTCTGTCTGTTTTTCTAACTAGATAAGTTTATTCTGAGTGAATTTAATAATTTAATTGGAGACTTCAAATAAAAGTACCATGAAGACCAGTTAATTGGTGAATGGAATGAAATCAGATAAACCGATTAAATATGTATGTACAATCCCAATCATAATGCCCGTGGTACACTGCGCAAACGCTACCTATATTTCTTTGAGCTGGATTAAGGGGGATCACATAAATTAATTGATTATGAATACGAGTTCGAACCGTTGAACTCAACTAACCCGTTTCGAGAGTTGTGCCGTTGTTGGTGCCTGTGGTCGCTGTGCCCGTGGGGTCTGTCTCCTGGCTGTTGGCTAGCTCGGCATTGTAGTCCACGGATGCGTTGCTGCTGCTGTTGCTGCCACGTGCGGCATTTGGGGACATGGCAGCCGTCTCTTCGACCTCTACCAGAAAGTTGGTTCCGCCCTGCCAGCCGGAGCCCCATTCTGCGAAACAGTTTTCTGAATTGAGTACATCGTTGTGGCATGTGGCAAGCGGCATGCGGCATGCAGCATGTGCGTCAGCTACTCACCTTCAGAGATGCCAGTCGAAGTGCTGACCTCCTCAGCGTGCACCGCCAGCTTCACAACTGGCAATAGAAGAAATAGAGAGACAGAGAGAGAGAGAGAGAGAGGGAGAGAGATAGGAAAAGCCGGTTACAAATGTTGCAAATACAAACGACAAACTTTCGAGTGCGGCACTCGAATGTGGCAAGTGGCAAATATTGACTTTGGTCATTCGCTTGCCTTGGCCAACAGCCAACAGTCAAATCAAAATCAAAATCAAAATCAACAAACTTTGTCCGAAACTTGAAACATTTTGGCTTCGAGATATTGTCTTCATACAAACATAAGTGCAAAGTACATACATCAGAGTTATGAATCCAGATGCTAGACAACGATGGGGTGCAAAGTGGTCTGTGTGTGTACCAATTCCTTAGAGCAGACCCATCAAGTTACTAACATAGATACTCTTTATTTGACCTTTAGCTTAAATCATTTTCAATTTTATATTTACAACTTCTTGAGAGCCCTCGGTAAGCTTAAATCTAAATCAACATCAAGTCTTAGCTTGAATTATCAATAAATCTGAACATTTTAAAAAGTTTGTATCACTAGATATATCACAATGTTGGCCTCTTTGAATAAGTTTTCAACGGACAAATTTAAGAGAGTTTAAAGTGCTTTAGTTGGGCATGCTCAGTTCAGGAGCAGCATGAAATATTATGTTTCCGTATACTCGAGATATAAACAATTAGCAATAAATAAAGACAGCTGATTTCAACTGATGGTGAATATATATATAAAATACTATATATACAGTAAAATCCGGTTATAAAGACGCTCAAGGGACCGTAGGTAACCCGGAAGACGCTTTAACCGCATAACCCAGAATTTTCGTCACAATAGACCTACGGATACTATAAGCGGAGTAGTTATAACCGGACACTACTGAATATACATATATATTTAGATAAATTTGAACGACAATCATAGTATCAATCATATGGTATATGTTAACCCATTATCAGCGATTCAAATCCTTTGTTTCCAATTCTCAATAAATACAGAGTATCGAATAGTCGATGCACGCACCTGCATCATAAAATTTCCACTTGGTTCATTAACAGTTTGGCGCGCGTTTAGCTACAATTAGTTTTCAACTAACGAACTCGTTTCAATCTCAATTATCCATTCAATCGATAGGCCGACGCACTTAACTTGAACTAGTTGTAAGTGCTGCCAGATCGTTGCACTTCACCAGAGTGGCAGCTAATTCTATTTCAATTAGCATCAAGCGCAATTTAATTGCCAGCAGTGGAAAACTTTGCCACTCGCTGCGTAAATTTCTCAAAATTACCCAGACAAGGGTTAGAGCTAGCGAAAGGGCTGGAGCGTCAGGTGAGCCACGTCAGCAAAAAAGAAAAAAAAAAAAGTAGCGTGATTCCCCCGAGTGTTGCATGGTTTGACGCGGCCAATTCACATGTGCAACTTCATGTTGCATGCAACGGCTCGCTCAGGCACTACCCGGATATCCCACTAGAGGGACACACAGCCTCAGCCGCGGCCTGCGAAGGTTTTGCTGCCGCAGAGTTCGTAAAGTGGTTGAGTCAGACGACAGACATGGCATACACACATATACACACTGTCACACATACACATACCCTCTCACTCACACAGACGCACATTTAGCGTAATGACTGCTGGTGCTAGAAACGCAATTTACGAATATGCGAAACTTAAGACGTAACTTTTGGCACTTGTTTAGTGCATTAAAAGTTACAGCTGTACCAGAACTAGGAAAGTGTGTGGCACTGTGGAAGGGGGGCTCATTTTCGCATAGCTGCTGAAGGGGTAGAGGGCACTACTTAGTCCCTGTTGTGATAATGACAATGCTGATGATGATGAAGATGATTTATGGCCCAACCACAAGAGCCGAAATGCCATCAATTTAACGTCTTCAGATAAAGTCATGCAATTGAAGTTAGCACAGCTGAGTACGCACGACTGGGCAATACCCTGCAGCTGTTTAGAGAATAGTGTATATGTACATATGTATGTGAGTAAACTTGTGTGAATGTCTTTTTGTCATGCATGTATGTAATTGCGTATATCTACAAATGGCTATACGAAATTCAATCACTCATTCAAGAAGAAAGGGAAACACTCTCTCCCCCATTTCCTATATCTGAGAGTCTGTTGCAACTGCTGTGAGCTGATATAAATCTTTAGCTTTACTAAATACAATTCAGTTTTTGCTCCGAGAAATCACATATCAAATTTAGTAGCTATATTATATATAGTATCTGACATATAAATACTAAAATATAGATCCTAATGTTGGCTGTAGTATAAGTGAGCTGGGCCTCATTATATATCTCCTCATATATGTAGGATCTAAGTCAACTAACATTTATTATATACCCATTTTGCTCTCCTACCCATATATCGGATATTTGGTGTAGTTATTCTAATCTCCATTATATACCCATTTAACGTATCTTGATGTATCTCATACCTCTATTGATATATCAGATATTCAGCTATACTATCATAAATTTTTCATTTCGATACGTCCAAAAAATGAACTAGGTCTAATACTGTGGCTTGTATTGTATCGTTCATATACATATATACAATGAATCGACCATTTTTATATGATATTGGGATATGTAAATTGGTACGGTTTATGGCCATGGCTAATGTCTCTTAAGTACATTCTCACAATTTAGTGGCGATTGGGTCTAATGCATTTGCTGATAATCTTCGCCCTGACCTTGCTAGATAGCCCAGCCAGTCATTAGCAAATAGTTAAGCTCCCGCTAACCCTTGGCTCTATCTCTTTGTATCTCTCTCTCTGACTCTCTCTCTCTCTCTCTTGTGGCATTTAATTTATTTATTTACTTGCTGCTCATTTAGTTAATTTGGTTAATTTGCTTAATCTATGCCCGAAAATGAGCTAATTAACATGCACAATTCCCGCTAGACATCCGCGGGGCGCAAGATCAGGGTGAGACAGAGATACTGACAGAGGCAGCGAATGTCGAAATGAGAGAGAGAGAGACAGACAAAGAGAAAGAGAGAGAGACAGAGAGAGTGAATCAGAAAGAGAGATAAGCAGACGACATTTGTTTGTTTATTTTCCTAGAACTTTGCTGCTGGCTGCATAAGAAATTCCCTGTAATTTATGAATGAAACTGTGAATAAAAATGCAAAGCATTAGCAAAAAATAGAAAAACAGATAAAGAAGATGAAACTACATAGAATTATATGAATGTGTGTGTGTGTGGGTGTGTGTAAAGAAAATGGCAACAGCAGCAGAAACAGAAGCCAGCGAGTGCAATAAAAGCGAAAATATATGCAGAAAGGGTAAACCGGAAAGGAAGTGCAGGTAATCAGCTAATTTATGTGTGTGTGTGTGTGTGTATCTGCGTGTGTATGCCACCAGGGGTAAGCCTGGCAATTAAATGCTCGTTAAGTCAAAACCAGGAGCAGCATGTGAGCTACTTTCAAAATTACTTAACGCAATTGCAGTACAGCCAGAAGACAATGACAAATAGCAAACAGGCTAAGGGATACGCTACTAGATATGCCCATAGATACCCTTTAAGCAGCTACAACTCTGTATTAATGAGGTACAGCAATGTGAGTGTATAAATGTATATGTGATGTATGTTGATTACCAGATGCTACTGCTATAGAATAACGCATATCAGAAAGTACGTTAAAGTACATGAATCCAACTTGTAAATTACCTGAACTCTATATACATACATACGTATACACATACATATGTATATATCTATATTTTTTCTTTAACGCTCACTGCACTCATAACTTTATACTTAAGCTATAGATGAAATATTCTTGCATTAGTCATTCGAGCAAATATTGAGAATTCCGCTAGCTCAACTAGTAAATACCCTTTAAATAGATTTTTTCTATATCTATTAAGCTATGGTTTTTATATACAGCTCATATTGTTTTGGCTGTGTCTCTTTATTTCTATGTGGATAGTAATAAAGACATACAGTCAATAAATACCCTACAATCATTTCTTATCTACTCTGTCTATTCATTAACTGAAAACTTTCCTCTGTACCCAACTTGTTTGATGTTGATTTGCTTGAAGTTCTGAGAATAACGGATAGATGCTCTAAAAGACGCTAATGATGTCATAAAAACTGTTGCATTCCTATTTTTAATGGCTTTTAAAAAGTATGGAAAAATATAGCTAAGAAGCTGCATATATATTGAAAATCTGCTATAATACGCCTAAGTTCAAACGACCTTCAGGTCTACAGGGTATATCTAAAAAAAAAAAAAAAACGCAATTAAATTACAAAATAAAATAAAAATTGTATTACGATTTAAGCTTGTGAAATACTGTCAATTTGCACAGCTGTTCAAGCATTCAACTGTAATCGTCTCATATGTAACCGCCTGACATATATACCCTGCCCCCACCGGAATTCAATCAGCGGGTATCGAGTACCAAAAGTATCGACTGAGATTGCCGCTTCAATTATGGGTAAATGTACTCAGGAGGACAGACAAAGCGAGAATCCATAGGCGATTAATAATTCATAAAGTATTAACAACAAGAGCGGCAAACACACACACACACACACATGCACGTACACATGTGTTTAGCTTAATATAAAAGTAAGAAGTAATATTGATTTTCTATGCATTGCAATACACACACACAAACACACACACACACACACACACACACACACAAACACACACATACACTCAGACAAGCACTCAACTGTTTTGAAAATCAAGCAAACAAATAATACACACGCGCAAACACACCTACACACGCACACACACACACACTCAATACGCACAACTCATGTGTTGTTAATTCAACATGACACATGCAAAACGCCACATAAGAAAGAGAGAGAGAGAGAGAGAGAGAGAGAGAGAAAAAATACAAAAACAAATTACAGCAAAATAAAAAACAAAATGTGAAGAAGTAAGAACGTTGCAAACGGGTATAAACGACTGCATTGATGACCTTGTCGACTTTAATTTTTCATTTGAAAAAGTTTTGAGTAAGACATCAGAATTGGGTGAG